GTTTAGGCGTTAACATGCATACATTTATCCATCCTCACAAACTTTCACATTTATAATATCAATATAAAAAACAAGTAAACAACTTTAGTTCTTTATAATTTTTTGAGAAGTCAATACTTTTCTGCTTATTCGCGAGTGAAAGTGTCAATTTTTCAGACAATTTATGACAAATAACTCAAAATCTATTTCTTCTGAGTGAAAATGTGGTTTATAAAAAAAAAGATTATTGGGATACAACACAAACGGATTAATAATAGCTTGTTGGAACTTTCAAATTAACGCCAACGAAAACAAAAACTAAACCAAAAATATTGCTTTTTACAGGGAAAATTCAAAGACTGCTTATCATTTTCTTTTATTATTCATAAAAGTGCCTAGCATCAAAACTAAACGAGTTATGACGAAAATAAAGTATTTTTATGGATGAAAATGGTAATATGCCCTAGAAGTTTGACCCCTTTAGAGTGCTTAGAAAAAATTTGAGCTTGAAGTAAAAAGAGCATTTTTGTAATTTTTCAAAAAAAATCATTAATAGTCTTGAAGGAAAAGCAATTTTTCGCGAATTTACAGAAATGCTTTTTTTACTTGAAGCACTGTAAATTGGTAAAACTTCAAGAGGATATTACCAGTACACAAATAAAGATGTGAATTAACAACGATTATTTTCAATTGTGGTAGTAATTAGGACGGTTATTTTCCCCTTTTTTTTGTTGTCGAAAACTAGGAAACATTATTTTGCCACAACTCACTCAGTACTGATTCTAGTAACTTTTATGAAATACAAGAACGAAGGTTTTCTCCTCAAGTAGATTTTAAAAATTCATGGGATTGGCAGATGTTCATATTCGGATGTGACAAAATATATTTTCATTTCAACAAGAAAAAAGACAAGATGTAGAATGAGTTTTGTTATTCATAAACCATGGTACGAATCCATGCAAAATTTCTTTGTAGTGATTTTTGGGGCCAAATATAGCAATCCTCATTTATTTGACAGAATTCTGAATGAAGAGACCTATCACCTATTTGGATGATCTACCTTTGGCTAACTGTAACAACATCCGATTTCAACATGATGGTGCTCCATCGCACACTACCAGACGATTATCTAATTACCTGACTGAGAGGTTTGGTGATAAATGGATAGGGAATAAAGGGCCGGAGAGGTGGCCAGCAAGGTCTCCATACTTAAGTGTTATGGATACATCCTCATGGAGTACACTGAAAAATAGAGTTTATGCTCAGAGGGAATATCAAAATATTGAGGACCTTCAACCCAGTATTGTGGATCCTCCACTGCAACCCGCGAAGGTTTATTATGACTCACATCTACTCAAACTGAACCAAATGAATCTAGCTTCTCAACGAAATCAATTACTTATCTGTTGAGTAATATTTCAGGTCAGCTGGCAAAAGTGAAACTCTGCTAAACGCTAAAAATCTGATCCGATCTACGGCGGCGTAAGCACGGAATAGGTATGTGCTCTTTTGCCGAGACCTGAAATGTCCTTGTGAAGAATAGTGCACTTTAGGATTGACAGACCATAGTATAATTTCCTCAATCTAGTGGTCAGTCTGTGATCGGTGGTCAGTCTGTAACTAATTTCGTCAGGTAGGTGTGTGTACTTGGAAGTAGGTCTCCTGTTGCGCATTTAAAGGAGGATGTAGAGTACTTACTGCACACTATCTAGGAGAGGCTTTTCTGATCCTTTGAGTCTCTACGATAACCTGTAGATCTACACAACACACTGAACAGGGATGATCCCAGATCCCGACAGAGGGACGAGGATGAAACACACTGGAAATAAAAGAAACGCGTCTAGCACACCTAAAACAATTACAAACTCCCTACGTGTCATCTACCTCGTAATGTTTAGAAAAGGTGACGAGTTTAATATTATTACTATTCTGTACGAATCAAGGTACACTTATGAATTGGATCCAAACTGCAAATAAACTAAACATAAAAGTATCTTTCAAAAAAATGAACATTAGAGTATATTTCAATTCTGCTCAATCACTTCAGTAATATGTCCATATGTGATTTCGTAGCTCGAAAAGCCTCAAGTAACATTGTTCGAAATTGTTGGCACTGAAACATGATATCATACTTTGCTATGCTTTTTCAAGACTGGAAATAGAGACCGATAATTTAGTGAAGTGAAGAAATTGGTCCAACTCCTAGAAGTCGGTAATTGATAGAAGATTTCCGTTTTTCAGTGTAAAAAAAACGGCTGTCTTTTTTTCTTCTGTATTATATCAATATAGAACTTCCCAATATTTCATGATGATTCCATGATTACTCTTGTTAACCTCGTTCTGACTTCAAGATTCTCGTCTTTGGATAGCTTTACGTGGATAACCCGAACTCCTTTNTCAAATTTATATCGAACATTGAAACCATTTTTTGTTGCTGAAGACGGGTATGTTACGATTCTCAGTTTGAATTAGCGCCGAGAAATTCAATTATTTGGATATTTTTTCACAAAGAGTTTTAATTGTGCTAATATTAATATAGATGGAGTGCCTGTTCTTTGGGATGGTTCTCTTCAGGAATGCCGAAGGATGTCATTGTTACCTCTGAAGTCATTAAACGAAATTACCCCTATAGGTATGTGAAAAACGTGTTTCAAAAATATTAAATGCGTAATGAATTATTCCGTCAAAGAAAGATCTCCATGAATTCGTTGACCTTAATATCTTTCATCACACACTTCATATTTTATGGATTTCATGTGATGCTGACGTATAAACAAACTCTGATGTGGAATATGTTCTCATTTACTGAAATCAAAAGAGAGAGTATGGCGTCCTATGTCGGTACAGTGTGAATCTCTATTAGTCTAATAAGTTTCTGAAATATTTCAGAATATTCTAAAAAGTTTTCCTTATACCCAGATTATTTATTTGTTGAACGTACCTAGTCATTTTAGAATTTTCTAACTATCTAATTCCACAAGTGGAATGTTTATAAATGTTTGTAGTGTAAAAACCCACGGAAAAACAAAACGTGTGCGTCTCGGAACGCCCGGCAGAAGTGATAAACTAATCTAAGTCGAACTATTTAATATTGCAATTGTTCAACTTGAGAAAAACTCAGGTTATTACTTAAATTTTATGTATATCAATATGATAATGTAAGGAAAGGTTATTTATTGATGAAATATTTTATTGATCATTTTGTGTATGTTATAGATTATTTAGAGTCAATAAATTATTTATATTCAGGTCAATATGGCTTTCGCAGATCGAGTGATACTGAATCTGTAGTAACGAATATTATTTCCATTATTCAACAACAATTATATAGAGCTATGAAATGTGATCTATTATCTCTCGATTTGCGAAAAGCATTAGACACTGTTAATCATAATATTTTATTGAAAAAATTGAATAGTATTGGTATTTCAGGGATTATTCATAGATGGTTTGAAAATTATTTATCTAACAGAAAACAGTTTGTGTGTCTAGAAAAAAATGCCAATTCATTGGAAACTATCCCTTGTGGTGTTCCACAAGGGTCTATTTTGGGTCCAGTTTTATTTTTGATTTACATAAATTCTATTTCAAAATTATTGTTGAAATTGAATTGATTCAGTTATACGTGGATGAGACAACATTACTTTATTTTTCTAGTGATACTAAAGAAGTTTACAATAACATGATTAATGACATTATATTGTTAACCTCTTGGTTAAATTATCATAACTTTGAATTATGAAAAGTCTTCTTTAAAGTTGATAATTGAGAACAAAATCACAAAGAGAATTTGGCTTTTAACAACAAAATTATTAAATAT